GATCCTGTTTATTTGTGCTTTCTCCTTTTTTCCTTTGTGAGCCTGGCTAGGGGTTTGTCTATTTTATTTATTTTTTCAAAGAACCAGCTCTTGGTTTCATTGATCTTTTGGATTGTTTTTTTAGTTTCAATTTCATTTATTTCTGCTTTGGTTTTTATTATTTCTTTTCTTCTACTGGTTTTGGGGTTTTTTTGTTGTTCTTTTTCTAGATCTTTGAGCTTCGAGATTAGGTTGTTTCTTTGAGTTCTTTCTTGTTTCTTGATGTGAGCTTCTATTGCTATATATTTTCCTCTTATTACTGCTTTTGCTGCATCCCATACATTTAGGATATTGGTGTCCTCCTTGTCGTTCAATTCAAAAAATTTTTTAATTTCCTCTTTGATCTCCTCATTAGTCCAGTGGTCTTCCAGTAGTGTGGTTTTTAATCTCCATGAGGTAGGAAAGTTCCTTGCCTTCTTTTTATGGTTTATTTCTAGTTTGATGCCTTCATGGTCAGAAAAGATGGTTGATATGATTTTAATCTTGGTGTATCTGTTGATGTTTGTCTTGTGCCCCAGTATGTGATCGATCCTGGAGAATGATCCGTGTGCGCTTGAGAAAAATGTGTACTCCGTTTTTTTGGGGTTTAGTGTTCTATAGATGTCTGTTAAGCCCAATTGCTCTAGGTCCTTATTTAGAGCTTTGGTTTCTTTACTTATTTTTTGTCTTGTTGATCTATCCATTGTTGATAGTGGTGTGTTGAAGTCTCCCACTACGTATGTGTTTTCTCTGATGTCTGTTTTCAGAGAGGACAACAGTTGTCTGATATATTTTGGTGCTCCTTCGTTTGGTGCATATATGTTAATGAGTGTTATTTCTTCTTGAAATATTGTCCCCTTGATCATAATGTAGTGACCATTGGGGTCTCTTTTTATCTTTTTGAGTTTGAAATCTGTTTTATCTGATATAAGTATAGCTGTTCCTGCTTTCTTTTTTGGCCCATTTGCTTGTAGGATTGTTTTCCATCCTTTAACTTTGAGCCTATTTTTATCTTTTGTAGCTAAATGTGTTTCCTGTAGACAGCAAAAGGTTGGGTTTTGTTTCTTAATCCAGGCTGCAACTCTGTGTCTTTTTATTGAAGAGTTTAGTCCATTTACATTTAGAGTTAATATTGATATGTTAACATCTGTATTTGCCATTGTGTTTGTCTTTCCTTTGATTTTATTTATTTATTCTTTTAATAACTTTTTTTTTTTTTGGCCTTCTTTCATTGTTATTCGTCCCTCTGAGGTTCTGGCTTTAGGACTCCTTGTAGTATTTTTTGGAGTGGGGGTTTAGTTGCAATGAAATTCCGGAGTTTCTGTTTGTCTGGGAAGGTCCATATTCTTTCTTCAAAGAGGAAGGAGAGCTTTGCGGGATAGAGTATTCTTGGTTGGCATCTGTTTTCTTGGAGTCTGTTGACTATGTCCCTCCACTCTCTCCTTGCCCGTAGTGTTTCTTCGGAGAAGTCTGATGTCAGCCTGATTGGCTTTCCTTTGAATGTTATCTGTTTCTTCCCTCTTGCCAGCTTCATTATTTTTTCCTTGTCCTGGATTCTTGGGAGCTTTACTATTATGTGTCTTGCTGTATTTTTTCTTTCGTCGTGGAAGTTTGGTGTTCTTCTTGCTTCTTGTATATCAATTTTCAGCTCCTTCTTCACATTTGGGAAGTTCTCTTCAATTATCTCTTTGAATATTTTCTCTGTTCCTACTTCTCTCTCCTCTCCTTCTGGTATTCCTATAACTCTTATATTTCCTTTCCTCATGGAGTCAGATAGTTCCCGAAGTCTTTCTTCATTCTTTTTCCTTCGTACTTCTCTTTCCTTTTCTGTTTTGGTTCTTTTTATTTCTGTGTCTTCAAGAGCACTTATTCGTTCTTCCATTTCATCAATTCTGCTTTCATTGCTTTTCCCAGAATTCTTTAGTTCTTCCACTAATTCTTTGATCTCCTGCATTTCTTTTACTTCCCTCTTTAGGGACTCAATTTCATTCTTCTGATCGTTGATTATTTTTCCCTTATCATTGTTTTCCTTTATGACTTCTGTCAGTTTTTTAATCACGGCAATTTTAAATTCTCTTTCTGGAAGGCTCAGAAGTTCTTCCAAGTTACTGTCGTTGCAATCTGAGGGCTGGTTTTCTTTTTGTGGTGTGCTTTTTTTCTGGAGAGTTGCTAGGTTGCGTGTGGTTCTTCTCCTCCCTACTGTCTGTTTTCTAATTTGCCGTATGCGTTGGGACACTGTGTAGTTGGGACTGGCCGGCATCTTGGGTGAGCTTCTCTGCTCCCCTCTAGTTCCTCCAGGAGTCATCTGTCAGTTTCAAGCAGTCTTTATTGGAGAAAGGTCCCTGTCCTAAAATGTCGATGTGGGGACACACTCCCCTGTGCGCCTGGTCTGCCCCGGCGGTGGGTTCCTGCTCCCCCACTGGGCTTGGACTGCAGGCCAGAGGGGGTCTGGCGTGGGCGAACTTCCCCCGCTCACCTCTGGCTCCTGAGGAAGCCTTCTGCAGGTAGTCTTTACTGAAGAAATGTCCCTGTTCTAAAATGGTGATGTGGGACACACTCCCTGCGCGTACGGTGTCAGGCACACTCTTCTGCGTGCCTGGTCTGCCCCGGCTGTGGGCGCTCGCTCCCCCTGTGGGCTCAGACTACTGGTCGGAAGGGGCCAGGCGTGGGCTAACTCCCCAGCTGGCCACTATCTCCTTCAGGAGCCTGTGCTGGCTACAAGTCGCTAGGTGGCGCCAGAGATCTCTCCTAGAGCCCTTGGGGAGCTGATTTTCCACCCCGTGGGACAGGGAGCAGAGCGGGGATGGTAGGGTACACCTCAACGGCTTTGGGGTGCTGTGTCTGCCTTGTGCCCCACCGTCGTGCGGAACCCACGCCCCTAATTTCGTGCCCCGGGTCTCAGTTCCAAAGCCCTCAGTTCCAGGACGTGGGCTGTAGCCCAGTTCAGTGGCACGGGAAGGGCGCCTTTTGAATCCCGCTCCCCTGCCTGGGCGCCTGGTTCCTGCTCACTCCGGGAGGGCCTCCGCGCGTCTCCCCGCAAGCCTAGGTCGCAGGCGCGGGGACCTGGGCAGCTGTGATCCGATCCGCGCAATCCGCGCCGCTTTCCCCGCGCAATCCCGCTCCGCGTCTGTTTTTCCGGCGCGCCGCTTCCGCGCAGGCTTACCGGGCGGCCGGGGCTGTGTGCTGGTGCTGGTCTCCTCCTGGGCGGGGCTCTCTTCAATGGCGCCCGGAGCTCACCTCCGCGGCGGATCCTGCGGGGGTTATCCACAGCTCCCGTTCACGGGGTGTGGTGGCTGCAATAGTTCCTTTCCACTCACAGTCCCGCTTGCTGCGTCCTTTGTTCTTGTTGGCAGTTTTAGTTTGTCGTTTTCCTCCTCTCTGCCGGTCGGAGAGTGCCGCCTCTGTGGGCGGGGGAGGGGAGCAGGGTTCTGCGCTTCCCTGCCTTCTGGTCCTCTTTTATGGCAACTTTCTTCTTCGGGCAGTTTGCTGGAGTCGTCCGTTTATCTTCCGTGTCCCAGTTCTCACTGGGACCTGCCGCTTTTCCTCCCTATTAACTTTTTTTTAATGGGAGATCTTACTCGCCCCAGCTGTTGATCTTTGCCTTCACTATCCCATTTGTATTGTTTTTAAATAGTACTTTTTAAAATATGCTCACTTACCAACCAATAAATCTTAAATGAATTAGGAAAATGTATAACAATTTCAGTCTTATATTTAAGATCTTTCAAATAAGCATGTTATGATTTAGTATCAAAAATACTTTTTTTACTCTATTTTTTTCTAATTACTGGAAAAAATAATGAACATCAACATAAGCATTTGTTGGAACTAAATGAAATAACAGTTCGAGTTCATTGCTTCTATGAAATGTTCGAATACAGTAAACAAAAATAGATGTTTTATTTCAAAGTAAGGATATCTTGTTTTGAATATTGAGCATTAAAATCGATGGCAAATTGAATAATACCCTTTTTTAAAAGATTTATTTAATTATGCATGCAAGAACTGGAGTGTAGGCCAGAGGTGCAGTGGGTGAGAGGATTCAACAGAGTGGGGAGCAGAACAGGTGGATCCACTGAAATCCACAACTGAGGGGAGCAGTGGGGAGATTGGAGAGGTCTCCTGCCCTCTCCTGTGTGGGTCAGCTCCTGGGCTGGGGATCAAACTCCTGAACTTATGCCTCAGTGTCTGGTGAAAGCTTCATAGCACGGCGACTTTAACTCCTGCACCCCCAGGGAGGGCCCGAATAATACAATTATAAACCAGAATAAACTAGGGTTTGATGGGTTAATTCTACCAAACTTTAAAATTTTTTTAAAGGTTTATTTATTTATGCACACAAGAACTGAGGTACAGGCCAGAGGTACAGGAGGTGAGAGGATTCCCCAGAGACAGAGCGGGGAGCAGAAAAGGCAGACCGACTAAAATACACTGCTGAGGGGAACAGCGGGGAGACAGGAGAGGTCTGCTGTGCCCTGTGGGTAGCTCCCTGGCCAACCAGGGATGGAACTCGTGCTGCAGAGACTGCCCATAGCTTCACAGTGCTGTGCTGAACCCCTTGTGCCACGAGGGTGGCCCTACTTTTGAAGACATTGTACCAATTCTCTACAGCTCTCTGAGTGTCTTTCTGACAGTAGAAGGTACATGAACACTTCATACATATAGAAGCACCCACATACACACACTTGTACAGGCTCACATGCACACACTTGCACAGACACTGTGAAATGCACATACACCTAAAGAACATAGTGCAAATACCTAATGACATACTCATTGGCAGCTCTGCGCCACTCTCCTATCTCACTGTGCTATCACCGTGTGATCCACCTGACTTCTAAAATTTTCTCAATGCTTTCTAAAATTTTCTAAATTTTCTTAAATTTCCAGTGCTGATCATAGGAATTTTAAAGCAAATTTAGGTATCTGATGACCCAGGTGTTGGAAGTGCGGGCACGTTCATAAATGAGAAGCAAATAAGGTCGGTTTCAAACAATGATTTAATGAGTCATGGCATAGACACGCTAACAAAGCAATCCATTTCTGAGTGTCTCCATCAGGCTGAGAAACAGCATTCAGATGCCTCCATGCCCCAGCGCCCTACAGGCAGAGCCGGTCACCTGGAGGTCCCCTCTGCAGTGGGGAGCCCGTCTGCCCATCGCGGCCACCTCCTGCGCTGTCCGGGACCTGCGTGGGAAGAGAAGAGCCAGTAAAGCCCAAGCAGAGAGTGAAGTGTTCAGGATGCTTGTGTGTGAGTGAAATCCCCCAAGGAGCGATGCACAGAGGTGATTGGGCAGGGCTCAGAAGGAAACCAGGAGGTCCTACCACTAGCTGGCAGGTGAGCTATTCTCCAACTTGGAGCTTCAGTTTTTAAAAGGGGCCCAACCCAGGGGGACTTCCTACCGTGTCCGTCAGTCAATGACAATGCCACTCAGACCGCAGAGCTCCTGCATCCTCTGCGCCATCCGTGTGCCCAGGCGCCAGCAGCAGGGCTGTCCCAGCAAGGGGGCGGGGAGGCCTTCACAGGACAGAGCCTAAGGTGGGAAGCCAGGCCGTGGGTTCCCCGCAGCCTCTGGCCCTGGGGCCTCTGGGAGCTCCGCCCCTGCACAGCTCCACTCCCCACCCTTCATCTGTTCAGCTGCCTCCAACCTCCACTCGCCCCCCTTCACCCGCTTTGCTCACCCACCCCTTTCACCCGCTTTGCTCGCCCCCACCCCAGGTGCTTCACCAGTTCCATTGCCCTCCTGGCCCTTCACCTGCTCTGCTCCAGGACATCTGTGTTCCGCGGACATCTGTGATCAGGTCCTGTGTGCGTCATGCTTCTCCTGGCCCCTCTGACTGGGCCCAGGCCCTGACCCCTCTCCAGAGCCTCGCCCTCCCCTGGCATGCTCCTGCTCACTTGGTGGCTGCATTTTGGGCGGGACTTCTGCAGGGTGTGGCAGTCTTATTAGTTGTCGGGTGGGTGAACACTCTTGCTGTGTTTTGAGTGGTGTGGTCGGCAGAAACAGCACAAATTTAGCAGGGCATTCATTATCCTCCTGCTGGCCCGCCCGCCTTGGCTAGAGCTAATGGATGGGACTGAGGTGTCATTGTCTTCATGGCTTTCTGCAGGAGCCACCGCATTCCTGCGGAACTTGAGGAGCCAGTGGCGTCTTTGGGGAGGTCTGAGGTTGGTGGGGGGGGGCTGAGGGGCAGGACTGAATGGTCCGTTCTTGCTTTCCTGTTCACCCTCCACCAGGGGGCCTGGCATGGTGGTGGTGCTACCACCCTCCTTGGTGTCCTGCACCTGGGGACCCGGAATGGATGTGGCGCTTTGCTCTGGGGCATCCTCCTGCAGGGGGTCTAGAATGGAGGTGGCGCTGTCCTCCGACTGGGGGCCTGGAATTGAGGTGGCGCTCTGATCTGGGGCACCCTCCTGCAGGAGGTCCGGAATGGAGGTGGCGCTCTCCTCCCAGGCGTCCTCCTGCAGGGGGTGTGACCTGGGGGTGGCGCTGTCCTCCACCTGGGGGTCCGGAATTGTGGTGGCACTTTGCTCTGGGGCTTCCTCCTGCAGGGGCTCTTGAATGGAGGTGGCACTGTCCTCCGCCTGTGGGTCTGGAATTGAGGTGGCGCTCTGATCTGGGGCACCCTCCTGCAGGGGGTCCGGAATGGAGGTGGCGCTCTCCTCCCAGGCATCCTCCCGCAGGGGTCGTGACCTGGGGGTGGCGCTGTCCTCCACCTGGGGGTCCGGAATTGACGTGGTGCTGGGCTCCGGGGCAACCTCCTGCAGGATGTCCAGAATGGAGGTGGAGCTCTCCTCCCAGGCGTCCTCCTGCAGGGGGCCCGGCGTGGGGGTGGCGCTGCGCTCTGGGGCGTCCCTCTGCAGGGGCCTGACGTGTGGGTGGAAGAGTCCTCCCAGGTATCCCCCACCTGGGAGCTGGCACTGTGCTCTGAGGCTCGGTCCTGCGGGATTTTCACGCATTTGGTCCTGCGGCCCGGGGTGGCCAGGAGGCTGAACACAGCTGACGCAGCGGCATCCTCTGTCTGTCCAGCCTCCTGGCTTTGCTCATACCCGGACACCTGCAGGAGGCCCTCCCCGGAGTCCCGGGCACCAGGGGTCACGGCGCGTGGGCAGGGCTCCTGGGGGGCGGGGAGACTCGGCCACGCCTCCCCCTCCTCGGGGCTCCCCTCCCCCCGCCTCCGGGACCCAGGATGAGGTCCGTCCCCATCACCTCGTCGAATCTTCGCTCCACCACGGTCGTCTGGCTCTGTTGTCTCTGATCGCCCATACTCACCATGGCCTCCGCCAGGGCCGCGTCGTGGTGGCTGGGCGACGGCTCGCGGACGGCCAGGAGCCCCTGAGTCGGCCGCACCCACGGGTGCTGCTGGATGGCCTCCAGGCTGCTGCGCCCCTGGGGGTCCAGCACCATCATTCTGCCCAGGAGGTCCCGGCACTGGGCCGAGAGGTAGGGGGGCAGGTGGAAGTGCCCGCTGACCACGCGGTCCCGGAGCTCCACGAGGTCGGAGCCCCGGAAGGGCAGCGCGCCCGTGACCATCCTGTAGAGCACCACCCCCAGGCTCCACACGTCCACGGCGGGGCCCGCGTACGGGCGGTGCAGGAAGATCTCGGGCGCCGCATACTCGGGGCTGCCGCAGAAGGTGCTGAGCGGCGCGCCCGCGCACTCGATGCTCAGCCCGAAGTCGCTGAGCTTGAGGTTGTGCTCGCGGTCCATGAGGATGTTCTCCGGCTTGAGGTCGCGATGCACGATGCCCCGCGCGTGGCAGTGCGCGACCGCCGCGAGGATCTGCTGGAACTTGTGGCGCGCCTCGAGCTCCTCCAGGCGCCCGCGCCGGAGCAGGTAGTCCAGCAGGTTCCCCCCGCCCGCATACTCCATGACCAGGAGGAGTTCCTCCGGGGTGTCCACCACCTCGAACAGCTGGATGATGTTGGGGTGCTGCAGCGCTTTCATACAAGCCACCTCGCGGGCCAGGAACTCGAGGCGCGCCTGCCTGGCCTTGCAGATGAACTTGATGGCCACCTCCGTGCCGGTCACCAAGTGTAGCGCCAGCTTGACTTTGGCGCAGGCGCCCGCCCCCAGCGTGCGCAGCACCCGGTAGTTTTTCATGCTGGGGGCCCCGAGAGCGCAGGGCCTGAACATAGCGAGTGCGGACCCGGCGGGCTGTCCCCGCGGCCCTGACTGCGCTGGCGGCCCTGGCGCTGCCTCTCCTGACCTCACGCTCTCCCCGATAGTATTTACAAGGGCTAATACTATATTAACTAACTACACTAACAATATAGGATTAATAGTATACAAAATTACCCACTAAGCTAACTAAATACTAACGAAGCTACCTTAACTCTACCTACAACTACACTAACCTTACTATGCTAACCTTACTAGAATACTAACACTAACTATCTACAGCAAAGATAAATGAACATACACAACCAAAAAAATACAAATGATATAAACATTTAAAAATACGATCAAAACAAACCAATCACAAACAAGCCATTACATTTATGAATACAACATAGAACAACAGCAAGGACAAAGAACAGACCACAACAGTACAAACAATTAGAAACTGACACCAACAACAAAATAGACCGACGACAAAGGGGAAAAACGAACACACGACAAAATAACAGAAGGGAAAAGGGGGGGGAAGGGGAGGGACACGGGACTGGACGGGTCGGGGGGGGGGTGGGGAGGACACACAAAAAGGAAAAATAAAAAACTAAAATAAAACAGCACAAATTAAAATAATAAAGAAAAAAATAGAAAAAAAAATAAGCAAGTAACAAAACAATACAAGAAAACAAGACAAAAATAAAAATACAGTAACTAAAATAAGTAACTAAAATAAAGAACTAAATAAGTAAACAGAAAAACCAGAGGAAAACCACATAAACCACACCACCACGCTACCTTCCGTCCGAGTCTGCAGGTCGCTATCCAGAGGCTTCCTGGCTCTTAAGGACACGCAGCGGCAGCCGGGCCGGGCTTATATAGGCAGGGCCGGGGCGCCATCACGGTGGCCCTTTATGCAGTCGGCCCTTTATGAGCCGAAGGGGGCCGCCGCCCTGGGCAAGGGAAACCCCAGTGGCTTCTCGGCCTTAAGGGAAACGCAACTGCCAAGAGGTGTGTTTCCAGGGCTTCTGGAGATGGACCTGTCCCCAGTTAAGGAGAACCCAGAGAAGGCTTGGAGGCCGCTTGATCTGTAGCGAGGAGACCTGTCCTAGCTTTTTTGCCCTGCTCTGAGCGGGCGCTCCACACAGTCACTGCCTTCCACGCTGCTGTCTCAAAGCCACGCTCCACCACAACTGACATTGTAAACGACGTCGTGTTGGGAGCACGAGACCCAACACAGCCCGTTCGTCACATGCCAACATTGCAAGCTCTCTGGGCCGGGGTTTTCCTCCATCTTTGCCCGTGAGCTGAGCGCGCCCATCGGCCACCTCCAGGCAAGGCCGGAGGCCGGGGCGGCTCTGGCAGGCGGGCAGATGCTGTAAAGCTCGGCCTCTCACTCCCCTCTTCCCCGTGTCTGCTGCTCGCCTGGCTTGCCTGCTGGTGCGAGCCCACAGCCCCTTCCCTCACTGTCAAGAGTGTCGCCAGCAGCACGACACGGGGTGTGTGTCCGTCACGCAGTGCTGCCTGCCATGGTCGCCCCCCGCAGTGGGGACACCCCCCTGACCTGACTCAGATAGGGCTGCGGGCAGCGGGGGGTGGTCAGCTCCCACTGAGATTTCTGGCTTAGAAATAGCTGCTTCTTGCTGGAATTGGGGGCAGGTTGGTTGGCCAAAGACAGGTCTGGACGCTGTGACCCTGAGCCCTGGCAGGAATGACCTGCCATCTGGAAACGGTGGGTTCAGGTGAACAACGGGGGTTCTGCTGCTACTCAGACTGCAGATTCCTTTCACCTCCCCCACCCCAGGCCTACCCTGATAGTTCACTCACTGTATCAGCTGAGGACCGAGTCTCGCCTGAGCAGCCTGGAGCGCAGTTGCAGCCCCAAAACTCAGAAGCATTGGCTTAGGGGTGTCGGGTCTGGGTCTGATATTGCTCCAGTGTCTCTTTTCCCGGGTCTGGAGAGCGGAGAGCCGGATTTGTCTCAGGGTGTGAGGATACGCAGGGCAGGCTCCTGCTGGCCCATGTCCCCCTGGGGACCTGACCCATCAGTGGCTGTGAGAGGTTCTGCTGCTCCTCCTGCCAACTGTTGCTGCTCCTGAGTTGCCGCGCAGAGGGAGTTATGGTCACTTCCATTTCAGCTGCCAACTCCAATGCTCAGTCCCGCTTTTCTCTCAAGCCTGCTTGCATCTCTCCTTCTCTGCTTTGCTGTCCCTGACTGAACTAATCCATCCTGTGGCTTCCAACATTCTCTACAGAGCAGGGGTGTCTGCTAGGGGTGCGGGAATGAGGGGATTCACCAGAGACACAGTGGGGGAGCAGAACAGGTGGATCCACTGAAATAGACTGCTGTGGGGGCCAGCGGGGGAGAGAGGAGAGGTCTGCTGCACTGTGTTGGTACCTCCCTGGCTGGGGATGGAATGCAGGCCGCAGAATTGATAGTGTTGAGCCTTCACCCCTAGGCCACCAGGGAGGCCCGACATGGCCCCCTCATAACTATAGTTATCCACCCGCCCAGCTACTCTGGCGGGAGGGGAGCTGCTGTTCTGCCTCTCTCAGAGTGGGAGTCTTGTGCTCTGTAGCTTGCCTGTGCACACGACCCGTCTCAGCCTAAGGGACTGCAAAACTCCACGGAAGGCTCCACATTCTCTTTGGGAACTGACAATGCACCTACCAGCCCGGGATGGCTGCAAGGTACTAGGCCAAGACTGATGCCCCCTCACTAGTTATCCCGCCTTCCTTAAACATCCTCCATCCCACAACCAGTTGAAGAGTGAAAGCATAGATCACTCGTTCTGCTGCTTCAAGCCTTCCCGTGGTCTTGCTGTGCTTGGAATGTCACAAAAACCCTTTCTTAAAGCCTTCCCTGTCCTCACTGGTCTGATCCTGCCCATCCCGCCTCCTCTCCCTGTCTCCAGCCCTCCTGGGTGAGCTGCCCTTCTTCCTGCCACATCCTGTTGCCACCTGGGACCTTTGCTCTTGTTCTTGCAGAGTCCCTCCCCCCCCACCCCGTGTCTGCCCCTAACCAGCTCTCTGACCTTGCTTTGCTCCAACCCAGACAACACCCGTTTGCCCGCCTGCAGGCTGGAGCTACACGTTTCGTCCTGAACCACATTCTTCCTTCTCAGTGTCATCCACACCGAAGTCACACTAACATGTTTTGAGAATTTCACGCTAAAATGGAATTCCCACCTATGCCTTGAGCTCCTGAGACAGTTTAGTTTATGGGAAGAATGCTGTCGGCTGACCCAAACCATCCTAAGACAAGAACATTCCAAGGAGCAGTACATTTTGAATGTCCCCTTGGCTTTTTTTTTTAAAAAAAAATATTTTTATGCATTAAGAGCTGGGGTACAGGCCAGAGGGGTGGGAGGAGGGGGTGAGAGGATTCACCAGAGACAGAGGGGGATGCAGAACAGGCAGACTGACTGAAACACACTGCTGAGGGAGCAGCGGGCGAGTCAGGAGAGGTCTGCCGCTCCATGTGGGTTGCTCCCTGGCTGGCCGGGGATCGAGCTCGTGCTGCACAGGCTGCGGACAGCTTCATAGGTTGCGTCTTAACCCCCTGCGCCACTGGGGAGGCCCTCCCCTTGGCTTTTTACATGTGAACATTTTCTCATTCTACATCAGGAAATAGATTCTAACAGTTTTGATTAGGGAAGCTTTGTTTTAAGCGATATCTCAAAGTGCTTCAAATGACAAATGTCACGTGCGAGGTCATAAAGGTTGACATCCTATGCCACATGGAGTTTCAAGTGCTCTGTTATGTAAAGCGTTTGTTACATGAATCTGTGTGACTGGGGAAGCAGTGAGGGATTCAACATCCAACATAGCTTCATCCCTTAAAGGAGGGTATCTTTTTTTTTTAACTTAATGTTAACCTGTTGGCTTACTTGCCTCACGGTCCACATCGTTGTCAATACCTTTGTCTAAACATAAAGGGAAAAATGAACTGAAATGAATGGAGAACATGATGGGTCATTTATTTTAGGTGTAAGCTGAAATTTTAAATCACCCGCCACTTGGGTTTATCTGGTACTTCTAGCCCCGCTAGTACAAGTTCCACGTGATGACTCTTTGGCCAAAACCCGGCGGGCCGTGGCCAGAGTCCCTGTTCATCGGACCATCTCACGCGCTGGCCTGTGTTTTTCATGAACGATGGGCTTTCGGTGTTAGGAGGTGAGGTTCCCTGGAAGTAGGGGGAAAAGCGTAACAAGGGCCCATATGAGCTGAGTATGGGTGTGCTGGGGCAGGAGTGTGTGGCCGGCAACCAGCAGCCAGACGAGCTGGGTTCCAGGAGGCGCTCGGGCCCGAGGGACCAAGGGCGTCCCGTGACAGGTATTTTCATCAACACTTGGTCCCTCCTCCAGTCCTCTCTCCTTGTTCCATCTCCAAGCCTCGGCGCTTCCTGGCATCTGCACAGAGCCCCCAGGCCTGCCTCTCTCAAGCATCTGTGAGCCCTGCATCTTTCCCTCTCAGATTTGATCTGCCGAGGCTGCCTCCAACTGCAGCCTCCACGTCATGAACAGGAGCCCAGACGTGCCTCACAAGGACCCTGTTTGGAATCATTTGGCCCCTGAACGATGCGGGGGGGTTGTCTGCGTTTCTTTTTTCCCACCCACTGCAGACTGGTCTGGGCCGGAGCAGAGGTCTGTTCCTTCAGTGTTGCCCACCGCCCGGCCTGACTCTCCACAGCAGGTGTGAGTGGCGGGGCGGGGGGGTGAGGGGAGGGTTCCTCTATGCTCAGGCTCTGCTGGACCTGGGGGATGAGCAGGGGAGGCTGCACTGGGAGCAGCACCCAGGGCAGTGACAGGGAGTGGATCATGGCGAGGATCTGCCCCCTCATTGGTTCTCTGGGATCCCCTCCCAAAGCCTTGGGGTATCTGGTCTACAGTCACTGATTCTGGGGCTAAATATGGAAACCGTGTTTGGTTGGAGTTTGGACCTCCTGTGTTTGTGTTTGAGCTCAGAATCTGCACTGTGTCCAAATGTTAATTCTTCAAGGGAACAGCTGTCTGCCTTCCTGTTGGCCTTTCACTCTGGAAAGGAAAGGAAGAAAATGAATTTCCTGAGTCTTCAGAGGCGGAGGGTGAGTCTGAGTGAGGAGGAGAGTCCGGTCCACCTGGCCCGCGCTTGCTCAGACCAGCCCGAGACAGCAACACGCGTCTGCTCCGGGGGCAGAGGCCGTCCCTGCAGAGCACAGGTGTCCTTTGAAATGAAGCCTAATATTTAAAATTTGGGCAATTTCACACAAACATCTGGGTTTCTTTATTTTCTTAAAAAACAAAAACCTCCTATCCCGCTTTTCTGAAGTGACGTTTCCATGCAGTCACAATTAAATTTTGAGTTTGAAATGTCAAAACCGGTTCTCTCACCTCATCCTGCGCAGAGGCATGCGGCAAATTTGAATGTACAAACTCTCATTTTTTAAAGGATGATTAATACAATAGTCTGGGCAATATTTATATGACTGTGAGGCACCCAGTGGTGAGATCATGGCTGGATAGAACTGATCTGGCATCTTTATCGCCCGGCCTGTTCTCGAACATAACTTTCAGATGATCACTCATTTGGCTATTTTTTTTTTTTTTTCAGTAAGGCTTGATGTTCTAATCATAAAACACTTCTAACCCCGGAGTAGACAGCACTGTGTCCTGAGCCTAATCCTCAAAGCCTCTCTCGGGAGCTCTGCCCCCGAAAGTCCCAGCAGATTTTGTTCTGTTTGCCTGAACCATCTTAAAATACCCAGCACCATCTCCTGGCCTGCAGCGTGCTGGTAAGAGGAGCCCCACCCTCTCCAACCTCCCCTTTGCACGCCTCGTTTATTTGCAAGTTC